TAACCATGCCAGAGAGGAGCTGCTAGAGGCAAACTCCCTGCTCCTCTCTGAACTATATTAATCTTCCTCAATACAATTCAGGGTGCTGCAGCATTCCCTTGGGAACACAGCAGGGGAAGCCAGACCTGTGCAAAAGCAAGATGTTACCTTTGAAAGGACAGCACACATATGTCCTGCTTGTTATTTAAAGGGATGGCTGTCTTTTTCTGGTTTAATTTCCATCATGAATCGGTGTCAGAACTACAGGCTCCTATATCATCACTCTTTTCCAGCAGCATGGGGACCAAGAAGCTAGCAGCCAAAAAACCCAAGCAATTTAGGCTTTGCAGTGCTCCATGATGTCCTTTAGAGTCAGATGCAATGTGTCTGTGGGATATCCCAGCAGCAAAGCTTTCCCTTAACGGAAAGAGCCCTTTTCCTCCTACAAAGCCCTCACTGCTGAAACAAGCCTCACTGCCTCCTGCAGTGGGAACTCAAGCAACTCCTCTGTAACACCCTAACATCTGAAGGAAGGATCATTTCAAGAACAGCATTCCCCCTGCAGCCAAGCAATGCTTTTACAGCCCTGGCTGGCTGGCAAATGCAATCCCACAGCAGGCAGATGGGGTTTTCCTACCAGACCACCGCCGACAACCGCGACTCTTTTGCCCTCTGGGTCACCAGGCTCCATGGCTGGGGCAGCCCCTGGGGTGGCAGGTTCTTGCTGCCGTGTCCCTGCTCCCTGTCCAGCTCTGCTGCCCTCGCCAGTGTGGAGGAGAAGGGGAAGGACGTAGGCAGCTGAGTCACCCCTGGGCTCTTCTCCCCTGACTGATATTAAAGTTTAACTCTCAGACCAGAGCTCCTCAGTGGATCAGCCTGGCCATGTGGCATGAGAACACTTCCTTGTGTGCCTCATTTCATATGCCTGTCCTCAGGAGGAAGCTGCACAGGGAGAGCTGTTAAAAGGGGGGAGCCCATTACAGCCTACACAAATAATGAAAAAGCAATAAAAATACATACATTAACATATACTAACTACCATTTATTGCTAGATCTGCAATGCACAGCCCACACCAGCAGACTTGTCTCCAAGGAGCAAGACCAAATCACCACACGAGCACAGCACTGCTCTCCACAGTGTGTCCTGGTTCCTGGGGCAGGAAAGGGCAGCAAGGGCTGTGCCATGTCCCAGCCTCCTGTACCACCCAAGAACAGGCTTGACAGGGCCCACAAGCAGCCCCAGGCCCAAGCTGAAATGGAACTGCTGGCCTTGGGGAGGTCCCCGGGAGGGGTTTTAAAGGCTCTTGGGGAAGACCCTCCATGGAGTTTCTCTGATCTCAGCAGGGGATTGATCCGCACTATCTGATCGACTCAGGCAAAGAAAAGAGCAGGCAGGGCAAAGAGCAAGGTTAAGTTTCACATAGCAAATAAATCATTCATTAATAGTTTCCAGAGCACAGCCAGCACACCATTAGCTTCCAGCAGTGACAGTTATTGTTTGGAGATGTCACTCACAGCACCCTCTGCCCACCTGCCTGGCAGGCTTTACAGATTGCTCCACCACCCCGGCTCACCAATCTGGCAGCAGCACTTCAAGGTACACCAGTTAACTCCTGGGCTCCTGCAGGTAACACAGCACACAGCCCTGGAACTACAACTTGTCCCCTAATGCTGCTTTCTGCACAAGCAGCCTCAGCCACTTGTTCCTGCTCCAGAGGGAGGAGGCACAGATACACAGGGGAGCTCCCAGCCCTTTGTGGCACCCTAAATGAGCCACACTTTGAAGGTGTTTTCTTCCAAGATGACACACACAAGCTCCTCACTGCCAAGCCTACTCCTTAGCTATTGACAACACTTCTTAGCAAACCAGACTAAACTTTGCCTGTCAGGGACTATGTCCAGTGTAAGATCTTTTAATCTGGGTAACCATTCTGAAGGAAAACGAAGTCTCTGGTTTATCTTCATCAGATTTGCTCACAAATTGCACCAGGCAAAAACAAGGTAAAAATGTTCTCCACTTCGAAAACAAGGAAGAAACTCAGGATTTTATTATGTTTTTTTAATCCACTCTAAATCCTGATTATATGCAGGAAAGATTGAGAAATAATGAAACAAATACACACAATTCAAGGCTGCTTAAATCACCCTCCAATGGCTCTTTGAGAAGAGAGCCGTGGGTAGCTTTGAAAATCTGGGATTTGGGAAAACAGAGAATCAGAAAATGTGGATTGTGGTTAGCAAGGGGTGGGCATTGCACTTCAGTGTTCAAATCCAATGACCACAGGAGATTTCATTCTGTTCTTCTCTACTGAGAATGATTTAACCAAATAATGCACAAAGCCAACTCACACAGGCAGGGTAGAGTGCTGGACTTCAAGAAATCCAGTGCCAGGATTTTGCTCTGCTGTGCAGGCAATTTGTGTTTGGATTGTTCCTGCTCATCTTTAGTTCCCTGACAGGTAATTGCTGTAGGACAAGTAAGGGAGTAAGTCCAAAGACAGTGAGCTTCAAGGACCTCCTAATGAAACGTGCACAGCAGAGGAGAACCTTCTGGGCTTTTGCTGACATTTTGCTGGGCTGCAACTGCAGAAGCACCTCTGGGATGATGTGGAATAACTCCTGGAGCTCTCTCCTGAGAGCAGGATTTGTAAAGCCATTCTCTGGCCTTCAAGGACCTCCTAATGAAACGTGCACAGCAGAGGAGAACCTTCTGGGCTTTTGCTGACATTTTGCTGGGCTGCAACTGCAGAAACACCTCTGGGATGATGTGGAATAACTCCTGGAGCTCTCTCCTGAGAGCAGGATGTGAACCACATGGCCTGCCCAGGGGGCTGGTCCTTTTGTGAGGACATGGCTTTCCCAAGGAAGTTTTGTGTGGCTCAAGTGTTCTGGGGTTTGATGCTGAGCAGAAGTTTTCAGGGGAGTTGGATGAGGCCATGAGAAGACTTCCTTGTGTGCCTCATTTCATATGCCTGTCCTCAGGAGGAAGCTACACAGGGAGAGCTGTTAAAAGGGAGGAGCCAATTACAGCCTACACAAATAATGAAAAAGCAATAAAAATACATACATTAACATATACTAACTACCATTTATTGCTAGATCTGCAATGCACAGCCCACACCAGCAGACTTGTCTCCAAGGAGCAAGACCAAATCACCACACGAGCACAGCACTGCTCTCCACAGTGTGTCCTGGTTCCTGGGGCAGGAAAGGGCAGCAAGGGCTGTGCCATGTCCCAGCCTCCTGTACCACCCAAGAACAGGCTTGACAGGGCCCACAAGCAGCCCCAGGCCCAAGCTGAAATGGAACTGCTGGCCTTGGGGAGGTCCCCGGGAGGGGTTTTAAAGGCTCTTGGGGAAGACCCTCCATGGAGTTTCTCTGATCTCAGCAGGGGATTGATCCGCACTATCTGATCGACTCAGGCAAAGAAAAGAGCAGGCAGGGCAAAGAGCAAGGTTAAGTTTCACATAGCAAATAAATCATTCATTAATAGTTTCCAGAGCACAGCCAGCACACCATTAGCTTCCAGCAGTGACAGTTATTGTTTGGAGATGTCACTCACAGCACCCTCTGCCCACCTGCCTGGCAGGCTTTACAGATTGCTCCACCACCCCGGCTCACCAATCTGGCAGCAGCACTTCAAGGTACACCAGTTAACTCCTGGGCTCCTGCAGGTAACACAGCACACAGCCCTGGAACTACAACTTGTCCCCTAATGCTGCTTTCTGCACAAGCAGCCTCAGCCACTTGTTCCTGCTCCAGAGGGAGGAGGCACAGATACACAGGGGAGCTCCCAGCCCTTTGTGGCACCCTAAATGAGCCACACTTTGAAGGTGTTTTCTTCCAAGATGACACACACAAGCTCCTCGCTGCCAAGCCTACTCCTTAGCTATTGACAACACTTCTTAGCAAACCAGACTAAACTTTGCCTGTCAGGGACTATGTCCAGTGTAAGATCTTTTAATCTGGGTAACCATTCTGAAGGAAAACGAAGTCTCTGGTTTATCTTCATCAGATTTGCTCACAAATTGCACCAGGCAAAAACAAGGTAAAAATGTTCTCCACTTCGAAAACAAGGAAGAAACTCAGGATTTTATTATGTTTTTTTAATCCACTCTAAATCCTGATTATATGCAGGAAAGATTGAGAAATAATGAAACAAATACACACAATTCAAGGCTGCTTAAATCACCCTCCAATGGCTCTTTGAGAAGAGAGCCGTGGGTAGCTTTGAAAATCTGGGATTTGGGAAAACAGAGAATCAGAAAATGTGGATTGTGGTTAGCAAGGGGTGGGCATTGCACTTCAGTGTTCAAATCCAATGACCACAGGAGATTTCATTCTGTTCTTCTCTACTGAGAGTGATTTAACCAAATAATGCACAAAGCCAACTCACACAGGCAGGGTAGAGTGCTGGACTTCAAGAAATCCAGTGCCAGGATTTTGCTCTGCTGTGCAGGCAATTTGTGTTTGGATTGTTCCTGCTCATCTTTAGTTCCCTGACAGGTAATTGCTGTAGGACAAGTAAGGGAGTAAGTCCAAAGACAGTGAGGGAAGAACACTTCAGGCTGATATTGGCAACTAAACCCTTATTCAGACATCCTGGGTTAGTTTGCATCATTCTCCCCAGGAGGGTAGCAGCCCCTTGGCAAGGGGCATTTCCTCAGTTTTTGCATGAATTGGACTCTCAGCCCTGGAGTTGGATCACATTCATTTGCAAGGGCTCGGATGACACTGGTGTCCAGGATATTTCATACTGCTGCTGTGGGCTGCCAAGCCTGCAAGACACTTTGGGCTGGGTTTTCTTTCTTCTGTGAAGAGAAGGTGAAGAAAGTGGTGCCTGCTTGCAGCTGGTCTGGGCTTGGAAGACGAGAGGAAACAACAGGACTAGCAGAAAGGGGTGAGCAGAGCACAAGAACATGGTTTGTTTGTTCTGAACACCTGCAGTCTTTCTCCCACTCACTGCTTGCACCAACAATGTGCAGTCACAAAGACGTTGGGCTGTCAATCAGACACACTCGTTAGGAACTGCTCAGAGACAGGTCGACCCCAGCAATGCCACAGTCCACTTGCAGAGGAACATGCACTGTCAGTATGTTGGCCACCTGCAATAAATAAAAAGGGCTTTATTGTGTTTGGTGATAACCAGCAGTGAATGCTTGCTGCAGCTGCAAAAGGACAGTGGAGATCACAAATGTGCTGGATCTCATAATTCATGGTGGAAGGCAGCTGAAGAAGAGCCTAAAAGCCAGGACAAGATCTTCCCTAGCTGATTTCTGCAACAGCTAATTGCACTGGTTCTGAAAAGAGCAGAGAGATCTTCACTGGTACAGGCTACAAACCCACATAGAAGTGAAAGGCATAGAAATCTGTTGTAATCCCATTAGGTAAAAATCTGCTCAGGAATTCAAATCCTGTGCTAAAGAGTGTGATAAAGATACCCCTGCCAGCATGTCAACCATGCCTGAGGACACAGCTGCCTCCATCCTGTTTTTCTGCTCACTAAGGCTTTGAAAGAGCCGTGGCACAGAAATCAAACCTGTGTTCTGTCCAGTGCAACAGTGAGTCCTCATCCCAAAGTCCTCAGCCACCCCACCACAATCTAACAATATGTGGTTTTTTACCACCCTCAACATGCAGGAACTTTCCAGCACTGCTGCTTCCATGCCTGCTTTCCTGCTATCCCCTCCTGAGGTACTTGGCAAGACCACTGCTCTCTTTTGGCTCAGATCCTCAAGGCCCCTCCTGCTACCACCACTCACCTGAGCAGAGTCTGAACACTAGTCCTGGCTGTGATCTGCTCAAACCCAGAAAGCCAAGCAGGACAAACTTAGAGCTAGCACGGAAGGCACAGGCAAGTGGGCCCCCTGGAGGAGCTGCTGACCTCTGCCAAGGGCTCAAGGGCTCTACAGACCTGGGGGCAGCCTGGGGCGAAGTCCCTCCATTTCTGCACTTGAAAAAAAAAAACACGACCCTGCTGCAAGCACAGGCTTATCACAAAGGCTCAGCTTTATCTCTGAGTACTCCCCTCCCTTTGTAGCATTTTTTTTTTGGAGTGATGGTGGGCTTTTTTTTTTGCAGGAATTTCTGGTTAGTAAATGTCTCTGCAGTGTTTTAAGAATATAAATCCTACTGGAAGCCTCGGCCTGAATGTAAAACACACACAGCCCTTCTTTAGCAGGCGTCTGCTGAGTTCACAGGGAGACCCAAAGCCCAGGGTAACAGCCACTGCAGGGGGGAGCCATGCAGCACTGCTGGGTGGTGGCTCTGTGTGGCAGAGACACAGCTTGGTATCATCTGTGGACCTTGTCTGATCCTAATGTTTATTCCGCAGTAAGAAAGGGTTAATTACTGAAGTTGCAAGATTGAGTTTATTAAACCATCATTTAACCTGCCTCAATCCCACTGTTGTGCTAAAGACAATATTCAGGGCTGGCCTTGGTGAAGAACCATGAAGGCTTGGGATTGTCTGGTCTACCTTGTTACCCTACCTGTGCAGGAAAGAAGGGCTACAGGTTTAGGTCGTGGCTGCCTGTTTACTTACGTAGGCAGGGCAGGGAGTGTGCTGCCATTCCAGTGATGTACCCTGGATGTGGCTGGGAAGCCTCCCTGGGGCACTGGGAGCACTCCTGTGGGAGGGTAGTGGTGGTGGTGGTGCACTGCAGATGGCCTGGGCCTGTCTGCTTTCACAGCCAGGGGAGCAGCAAACTGCAGGTCCTTGATAGAGAGAGACAAAGGGAAATCTGTGAAATCTGTGCCCCCACAGGAAGGGTCCCTGGCTGAGGGGCTGAGTTCCCACTTGGCTACCCTCTGGTAAAGGAAATCCTTCAGCATGTGTCTGAAGATGGGTTCTGCAGGTTGCAACAGGGAAGATCCAGCAAACACTCAGTGATTTCAGATTTCACGTGATATTCAGAAACCCTCAGACCCCACTCCCCTCAATTTATCCCCCTAGCCTCTCTAAGGGAAATGCACAGTGGCAGGATGGCCTAGGGAGGAAGGTGGGCACGAGGGGGATGCACACTCTTCCTATGCCATCTTCCCTTAGATGCAGGGTCCTCTACAGAAAGCTGTAGAGGAGTCTGCTGGCTGTCCCAGCACCCCTGTTTGCCCCAGACAACTCCCTCACAGCAAGGGGCAAAGAAAAAACCAGAAACTGCAAAGTTTAAGGGAAATAGGAAAGGACTTCTGTCCAAGGCAGTGCTCTGCACAGCTCTGAGGTGAGGAAGAGCTAGAGCTGCCTGGACAGCCAGTCCACTCGGGGACCATGGCTGACAAAACCCTGTGCTGCCGGTGGCCTCCTGGGACATCAGTGCCATGAAACATGAGAGTGAGCAGCTGCTGTGGAAGGCTTTCTGTCCAGGGCAGACACTGGGTCCAACAGGTGCAGAAACCCATCAGCTCCCTGCAGGCCAGGGGATGGGCTATGGAGGAGGCATTTCCTACCCCTCCATCACATCCAGGGCTCGGGGGCTTTTAAGCCCTTTGTTGCTTTTGCAAATAGCAGATAGGAAAGGTGGCAACATCTGAGAAAAAGAAAACAAGTCTGTCTTACAGCCTAGGGAAAAGACATAGCCTGAAAACAGAAGGGTAGGTACAGGGAAGTTTTTGCAACACTGGGACATCTCCTCCTCCCCAAAATCAATTGTCCTTGCTTCTTAGGTAATAAATACTACAGAATAGACAGTAGAAATACATTTTACCAAAGCACTTATGAACACTAAGGAGCAATATCACATTGTTAAAAATAGCTTAGGAATGGGCATCTGAGGATATGTTCAAAACTACCTACCTCTGATCAGGCACCAGGCAAGTCTTGGAAAAAATCCCTATAGGGACCTACACACCAAAATAACTTCAAGGTCTGTCCTTTCAGAGCTCAGCAGCCATTGATTTTCAGTGAGGCAAAAACTAGAGCAGTGGGGCTCCAAGTATGTCACAAAATCTGAGATCATCTCTAGCCCATTTGAACCTGCCAGGTCAAATTTGGAGAATTTGTAGCACAAATACTGCACTGCTGTTTGCAGCAAGTGGACCTGCAGCAGCAGATGCCCTGTGTAGGCAACTTCCTAACATAGTTTCTGTTACTGCTTCAAGTGCATAGGCCAGATAATTTTCAGAGTTGGACTGAATCCAGTTGGAGGAGACATTCCTCCATCAGGTCCTGTCCTGAAGCTGACCATGGTAAAAGGGCAGGCTGTTCTCTGCTCAATAAGTCTGCTGGTGCAGTGAGCCTAAAGATGCACACAGCTGTTAAAACTCCCAGACTTTCTGCACATTTTGTCCAGGCCCTGCACTCTCCCCAGGAGGTGAACCATTGCCTCATGTGAGCAAGGATACCTTTCAGACTCTGGTGTGGTTACCTGCTGGGCACGCTGAAGCAAGGGAGAGCTGGCTCCAGCAGGCTGGGTGAAGGCCATTGGTGGCAGAGCCTTCAGCATCATGTTCTGCATAATGATCTGGTGCATCTGAGCGTTCTGCATCAGCATCATCTCCACCATGTCTGGGAAGAGGTCACCACAGGAGAGTAAGTAAGAGTTTTATCATCAACTGACAAGAAGCAGAGGCATCTCAGTAAGAAGTGCTCTCCAGCATCCAGACCAGTCACTGCAACCAAGACAAGCAGCTGACAGGGACACGTGAAGAATATTAGCATTATTTGGCCAGGCAGTGAAAAACTAGCATCTGTGAGTAAGACTGTTCAGACCAGCTCTCCTGTTTCTCCTCCCTTTTACAGGAAAGCTGCTGTTGAGCATCTCCTGTCTGCTATTCACCCTACAAGCCTGCCTCTGGCTATGCTAACAGCACTTGGAGCTGTTCTGTTTGTTTCCAAACACGGGGCATAATAAAAGCCTGTGTTGTTCTGAGGAGATTGAACTGCAGGTTAAGAGAACAAAAGGATAACAACAGATTTTTGAAGCTTGTTTGTTAGTTTTGGCGTCATCCACGTGCATGAGTTTGACCTTGTTAATATTACTTGGTGCCTGCCTTGTGTTGAGCTGTTTTCCTTTCCCAAGCTTCCCTGGCTGCTTAACTTGGCTTTGCTGAGTTTGTAGTCCCTTTTCCTTTAGTTTCAACAACAGGAGTTTGTCTAACAGCTTCTCAGAAATAGTATCTAGTCCATATGTGGAGTGCAATTTCCACAGCTCCAGCAGCAGTCTGGTCATGAAATAGCACTTCTCTGACTGGCTTGGATGCTGTCCCATGCCCCTCCACTTACTGTGACACCCTCCCTGGCTGCAGACAGGGGGTAGGTACATCACCTTCTTTAATGCTTCCAGAGCGGGAGGCTGCAAAAGGCTGGGCAGGGGGGATCTGTGTGATCAGGGGGGGTGGTTGAGGTAGCTGCTGGATGATGGTGGCAGGCTGAGGTGGCATCTGGAAAAGAAAGGTAAATGAAGAAGTCAGGGTTGGGATGGACCAGTACCTTCATCTTTGGGAGGGGGGAGCAGCGGGTATTGTCTGCCTGGAGTTCAGGAAGACTTTGGACATGGTTCCCCATGAGACCTTCGTGGAGAAGCTGCTGAGGGGCTGTAGAAGCAGTGATGTGCCTTGGAAACTGGCTGAATGGCAGGTCCAGAGCATGGGCAATCCTCCTACTCCTCTTGCTACCTCACTCCTGTGGTAAACCCTTTGCACCGTTCACGTTGTGCCTTATTTGGAAGACAATTTCCCTTAGATTTTGCCAAGGGCAGTAAGGGTCCCATCAACCAGCAAGAGCTGTATCTTCCCTTTCAGTGGGATGAACTTTTCCATGCAGCCCCCAAGCCCCTACACACCTGCAGTTACTGTCTCAGACCCGCAGGGCACCAGCAGAGGGAAGTCTCTTACTGTCTGCTGGATGATCCTTGGGGGTTCTGCTTGGGGACCTGGAAAAGGAATCTGGTAGACACGTGGGGAGGCAGCTCTGTGGCTATGACAGTGTCCTCCAGCTGGTGCAGGGGGCTGTGAAAGCTCTTCCAGAAGGTGCTGCTCCTGCAAAATCAAGAGTCATCTTAATGAAAACCTGGTCACAGGTTCTCTGGACTAAATGGGATTAGCCAAACTAAATGGGATTAGCCAAACTGCAGACATGGCCAGCACAGCTGCTTCAGACAAGAAGCCCACAAATGACTGCCCCATGAAGGGAGGCACTCAACCAGGGCCTGCACAAGTATAAAGCAAGGTTTACTTCCCACATATCTCCAAGCCACACAGTTCTCAGCACAAGCAAAAAGGAATGTGGAAAAAAAGAAAGAAAGTGAAGAGCAAACTGCAAAAAGTTTGAAAAAATGCTTCATTAATGGTTGGGACCCTCCAAGAACTAGGAGTAAGTAATGGTTACTATTGTCCCTGGTTTGGCAGGATTTAAGAATCCCTTATTTGCATTCTGGCACTATCCCAGAGACCTTATGATACAGCAGATCAAGACAAACAGAACCAACCTGCCTACTAAGTGAAGTGGGTGCAAACTTTGTTAGCTGTAGTGAGGGAAGACACACTGTTCCTGGGCCCCTCTCCCTCACTAGCTGGCCCAGCATCTATGCTCTGAATACTGCCCAGCCAAAGAACTAAACGGCAGATAAAGAGGATGTGCAGAAAACCTCTCTGTTGTTTCTGTCTGCAGACACAACCTGGAGGGCTCTTACCCTAAGCTGCTGCAGAAGATCTCTCCTTCGCCTCAGGGCACTTTGCAGCACATCCTCACGTCTGCTCCCTGAAGGAGGAAAACTCCATTATTTCCTCAGTCACAAAGACAGAGCTATTACTGCACCTACATTATGAGATTAATTTTGGAAAACGTGTTGTAAGATAGTTTGACTTCTTCCACAAAAGGCTCTAGGCTACTTTTCTTCTCAAATCAACGAATGGATAATGACTTTGTGCCACACGCAGACACAGCTGCTCAGCAGCTCTACAAAGGCAATGCACCTTCTCTGAAAATCAACTTTGCTCCTTAAAGTTCCTTTTTAACCTCTCAGCCTAGTAACTCCTTTCAGCCTGAAATTTCCTAGGAATACTCTGTACATGCAGGGGATGATTGTGCAAAACGTGAAAAAGTGTGTTTTGACATAGCAAAACAAGCTAAGTTTTGAATGTTAACATTTCTGTTTCTTTTTTGTTCTGAATCCTTTTTCAGTCCTTCCCACATACAGCTGATTCTGAACTCTCTTGAAATGAAAATAAGAAAGTTAGTTTTTAGATACATTGGAGCCATTCCTGGCATCGGCTCTGAAAAGCAGCACTTCATATTGAGAAACTGTGAAATTTTTAGGTTTTGGCCACAACATTGAAAGTTTTCAACTATTTTCTGCATCAGCTCCATGAATATGAGCCCTGAGTATAATCTAGAAATATTACTGATCTTCTACTGGTAGCCTTTAATCCACAGATAATACAATTATGAACAGAAACTAACGCACTGCACATAGCAGAAGCAGCTTCCATGGAAGTATCCAAGGGAACACACTGCTTGTACATGAGCTGTCACAGCAGTCTTGAAAGGGTTTGATAAAGACAGAAGTTATTTTAAACTCCCTTATTTATCAACTTTCAGCTGGTTTGCTGGCTTTTATAGAGAATTGTCTAAACTTTTGGATGCTGTGATTCTGGACCTCTTTTCCCAAACCAAAGTCAGGATGCAGTTGCAACATGCATGGTTTTCTGGCAAAATGGTTTCCCAGCTCTTCTCACTAAGCCCTTTCTGCATTGTGTCCAAAATTACAACAAATGCTTCTCTTTTACTTGCAGCTGGGAGAGGTGACTCCATCTTCTCAAGGTTCTCCTGTTCGTTTTCCAGTCTCTGTTGGTAGAAGCACAAGAACTGGTTATTAGTCAGGCAGCAAAGCTCACAACAATTTCCAATCCTACCTTACAGGCATAGGTTTGGGATGGAGGAAATAAAGCACAACTGGAGACCAGCAGTGCTTCTTAACTGCTAAATGACTTAGGGAGGGCTACAGGAAGCATTTGCAGAACTATGAAATGTCTCACTACAGATGGGGTTATGGGAAAAGAATAGTTATACTTCCCACTGGCCAGGCTATCCCAGACCTGGAAATTGATAGCATTGTGAATCAGGAGATTTACTGATCATTTCTTCTGTAGGACAGCAAGCTGGATCATATGAAGATGTCAGACAGCTTTGGGTATTTGGTACATTAATAGGTCTAAATGGCCCTGACCGGCCTCACCTGGGGCTTCTATCCACACCTGCTAATCACATGCTCAGAAGCCCATTTAATCTCAGCTCTAGGTCTTCAGTTCCCACCTGAGCTGCACTATATGTGTATTGGGCTGCAGTTCAACCACAGCCATGCCTGTGGCTACCTATGGATCCTATCAACCCTGATCTCAGCATTCAGACATTTCCTAGGTTGACTTGGGACCAGCCTCATCACCCTGAGCTTGCCTAATAGATCTGGACTTTTTGGTTAAAGCTGGCCACCATCTCTGGCTCTATCTTGCTTGTCTTGCATGGGGGGTGGTCAGCCAGGCCCCTGCTCTGCTGGCTGTCTTACTGTGTTCAACTCCGTGCACTTTAGGGAGCAGCTGACCCGCAAATAGCTGTTGCATCTAAGGCAAAAGACTCCACCATGGAAATAGATTAAATGTCACTTCCAGCCTTCATGTCTCCAGGCAAATTATTTTTCCTTCCAGACAATTCTAAGAGGCTTCTGGAGGTCACTGAAGCAGAAGATCCACATTAGAGGACATCAGATGTGCTGAGGGTGGAGAACCCTGGGTGCAGAACCACGAGAAAGAGCTGCTGGGAGTCTGTGCAGCACCTCATGTTCTCCCAGGGGTCTGCCCATGTTTCACCATGCAATATATCTAATGTGAAAACTGGAAAAAAAAGGAAGACATGGAACTGACTTAAAGCAATCCAAGGTCCTCCTTACCCAAAATTTCCTCCTAAATTTTGCCTGTCACAACTCAAACTGTTTTGAGCTAACTGGTGACATCTCCTATAAGATCAAAGTCACTTTATTTTTAATTTACTGTAGGTCCATGTAAGCTTGTACAATGTTATTTAAGAAACAAGAGTGACTGCAGCATCACTGCACATTGGTCTTCCTCTGTCTGCATGACTCAATTGGCTATAGATCCTCTGTATCTCAGTAGAAATAGATTTAAATACAGTGTTAATGCTTAAAAATGCAAGAGCAAGAAGAGCAAAGCTGACAACTGCAGAGTGATTCCCTTACCTTTTCTAGGAGTTTGAGTTGCAGTTGGGTCAGGTGATCCACCACTGAAGGATCTGTCATAGTGGTAGCCTCCTGGAAAAGTAGGCAGGCAAAAGCAAGTTAAAAAACTAAGGAAAGCCAGGTGGGTTTCCAGTGGTCATTTTTCCCCTTCTTCAATCTTCATAGAAGAATAATTCCATTAGAAAAATAAAATAGGAAATCATGAGCAATTCAGGGGGGAAGATAAAAGCTTCAGTTTCACTCCCAGGTAAAAGTGTTCACCACAACATCACCAACAAAACTTTTCCTGCCATTTCTCTCAAGGCATTTGTGTGCTGCAGGTTGCAATGGTCACAGCAGGGCAACTCAGGGTGAGTATTTGTCTGTTCTTAATGGTTGCTAGCCTCTCCCTGGCAGTGGCACTGAGCCTGGCCTTCTGTGTTGATGCTGTCTTCTAAGTAGCTCAGAGTTCTGTGTCTGTAACCTAGTTGCTAGGTTTGTAGTGTCAATCCACAACATAAACAATTTGATCTCCAGGTGTAGAAATGCCCAGTGGACAAGAACAAAAGAAGTAAGTCAGTGATTCTTTAACACAGACCCAGTGCTGGGGGTCAGATTATAATCTAGCTGATTGCAATATTTATCCCATTGTAAGGGGCTCTTACACTTTTGATGCAGCCCTTCTGCATATGAGTTTTTATCACTTCATAGTACCTAAAAACTCAAAAAATGAAGGAGCATGGCTAGAACTCATCTCCAGATGCATCAAAAAGTAAAGAGATGATGACAAAAAAACCTTTTGTTTACCATCTCCCAAGCAACCTGTAGGGTGTCTCCCCCTCCCAGCAATGCCCTACCAGCATAAAAAACAGGGCAAATGTTTATCAGTGACATCCATAAAATCAACACCAAGGCAAGAGAAGAATCCAGGTAATAGAGACTCATTCTCAGTACCATATTTTGAGCCCAGTTCCTCTCCTCAGAGAGCAAAGTTTAGTTCTTGAAGGCCATAGCAAAGCCACAGCTGAGCCACTGGTGGCAGCTAGAGCAGCTGATAGATGCTTGTAGGAAGCTGTGTGGGAGCTGCACAGATCTCCTCATCCAGCTGTGACCCACACAGCATGTGTGCACAATCTGTCCTTAAAAATGCACAGGCTGGTAGTCACTGGAGAGGTTATGAGACATGGGGATCCCAAAAATAGCTGCACTGTGTCATAGCTAGGACTCAGCTTTCCTGGGCAGGGCTCCTCTGTGAATGCCACAAGTAAACAGAAAACCCCCTCCCCTGAGAAACAACTCTGTGTACAGTTTTGTGCTTTAAAGTCCCAACAGACTTTTCTCTGGTTATCTGTAACATCTTTGATACCTCCATCCATCAGTCAGCTGCAACTTTGGGCAAGGAGTTTCCCAGTTGTCTGAAACTTAAGCATAAACCTGGTGATGCAAGTAAGCTGTGTAAGTACAGTTTATCTAAGTGTTAGGTGGGGAAAGGATTACATGTAGACTAGATTTGTGAAAAGTTGATAGAAAATCTTTCCTATGCAAAGTTTACATGTCTGCTCTCCATGTACTTTTTCCCTGCCATCTGTGCCTTATATTTCTGCATCATATTCCCACTCAGGTGTCTCTTTTCTAAGCAAGAAAAGTTATTGATTTCCCCCTCAAACTGCAAGTTTTCCTTACCCATTAACCTGATGTTTCACTGAAGAGCCCCCTAGAAGGAAAATTCATTGCCATACTACTAGAGGGCTACAAGAAAGGCTGGCAAAATAACCAAGTATTCCATGAAAAACACAGTGCCAGTGATAAGCAGCTGAGTTGACTATAGACAGGAGAAACTTCTCCTTGATGTGCCAAGTATCCCAGAGAAAATCCAACAGTAGGTAAAAAAAAAATGCTTTTCAGCCAATCTGCTCGGAGATCCTTTTTCTCCCAAACTTATGGATACCCTGATGACACTGGGATTCCTACTCTAGGGACATCTTACAACCTGCTGACTTGCCAGAAACCTGCCAGCCAGACACAAGAGGATCTTGCTGAAAGGGATCTGTTGTCACATGGACTCACAAACTAGGGATTGCCCAGGAACATGGTGCTGCAAAAGAGCAAAACCAGACAAATTTAATTCTGCCAGGGATTCATAGAAGTGCTATTTGGACCTCACAGGAAATAATTATTCTGCTCTATTTAGCAGCACTCCAGCTGGAGTTTGCACACTGTGCCTAATTTTAGACATGGTGGTTTAAGAGGGAAAGAAAGCCCAGGAAGAAGATGATAAAAATGGTGCATTTACAAAATGCAAGTTCTGAGGAATACTTGGAAGAACTGGTTTTCTGTAGTTGGTAAGTAGATAGTGAGGAGATGACAGGCTGGCAATCCTCAAAGAAATGAAAAGGAAACAATGAAGAACAGAGTGGGGTTTTTCTGTCTGAAAAGACAGGGAAAGAAGCATTTGACTTAGGGAGGGAGAAGAAAAAGCAATAAAAATGTCTTAATTATACAGTAAGATAAATGATGGAGCAGCTGTCTAAGGAAAAAATGTCTAGAAAAAAAAAGTGATTAACAGACTGTTTCTCAGATACCAGGAGGATTAGATAACCAGGTGATGCCCACAACAGTACTGCATTTCTATAGTGTTTTTCCTTTATTTCATTATTTATGTCCTTAGTTTTAATGACTGTGATTCTAAAACAGCATAGAAGAAGAACCAAACTGAAGCACCTAGTAATATCTGTAGATAATGAACTTCCATGCTCTTGTTCCACAGGGAGGAGTCTTCATCATTTCAATCTCAAGAGGGTGTTTGAATTTGTTAAAAGAATAAAAAAAGAAACACACACAAAAGTCACCAGTGGAGAAATACATATAATTTATTTCCAATCAGCTGTCTACCTCTGCCAGTGGTAATGTTGCAGATTAAGAGTCTAGAGCTCTTGTTAGGCTGCTTGGTAGTTACAGGTATTGTAAAAATGTCCTGCCTGCAACTGAAACTAAACATATGAATACAACCTATTCTACAGTTATTTCATGCCACTGCCATAGAACAGGGTGCAATGTTGTTTTTTACTGTTATTTCTGAAAAGAGTCCTCCTAGTGGGAAACAAATTATCCTTATGATTGTCTTCTTACTTATGATTAACTACACCATACTAATCACACACTGTACTTATGATTATTGTCTTCTTATACCACCATGACAAACCACGAGTCCCTGCAAACACTGCTTATCTATTTGGAGATACTTCTGCAGCAGGAGCCAGAGTTCTCAGGAAGGTTTTGTCACCAGCCTGATCTCAGTGCAGCGTTATTGGTGCTGCTGCAGATTTAGTCACTGCATAAACCACCTCTGCTGCTTTATTGCCAGGCAGGATTGGCTGTGACAGAAACAGGGGTGGTGGTTCTGCCACCCTGGCTGCAGCTTCCCCACGGCAGGGCTGCTGTGCAGAACCCAGCCCAGCTCCTGGCAGGACCATTTTGGGTAGCATCCAAAAGGTGGTGCTGGTTGATTTCCAACTAACTGATGTACTGCTAGAGACAAATCCCTTTCAGATACTTTCACTTGAGCCAATTCAATTAGATTAACACTATACGTCCTGATATTTTAACAAACAGATGTGGATATATATAAAAAAATACGACATATGAAGTGGGCTTAAAAACAAAGGAAAAGAATTACCAATAAATCAAAACCCATTAAACCCTAACAAACATGACTTGTTTGTTTTATACTTTTAGGTGGAGCTAGAAATCAATCAATGCATTTGATCAATTTATTTTAAACCAGTTGTTTTTAAAGTGACATATATGATTTTAATAAAATTGACATTATAAATGTAATGATACATTGTATTTTTTCTTTTAAAAAATCAGTTTTCTATTGCCTCTCAAATTACACAAGCTTTTGCACCAAAAACTTTCATAATCCAGACTTCCTCTCTTAGCACTGACTGAGGACAAACTCAGAATCCTGCCTATTGGGTCAGAGGACATGGCAGCACCACCAGGAAAACCAAATAAGCCAAAAAACCCTCAGAACAGTCAAGGGCTGACAAAGGGGGAGGTTACTATTATTAGCATCAGAAGCCTGTCCTCGCTGTCAGATCTAAAGTCCCTGCATGGTTTGCTCACTGAAACTTCCACTCTTCCTTCCAGACTGGCTGTGAAGCCAATATGTACTGTCCCCCAGCAACCTCTCCAGTACTTTATAACTCAATCTCTACCTTGGCTCTAAGCATAGATGGGCTTTCTAACACACAGAGAAAGCCTTGCTAACCCTGCCTTGCTCCTCAGATTCCTCTTTGGGGCACTGGGCTCACACTGCTCCAGGCTTCCTGTTGTCTCTGCTGAAATACTTATATTGAGATAACGTGGAAGACCATGATATTGCTACAAAATGGTCTATTATGAGAACCCGTGTTTCTTCCCAAGTATTTTTGGGTGGTGGTTCAAGCAGGCATGGGAAACCCAGGCAGCACAGACAAGAGTCCACAGGAGCAGCTCGGGCCAGCTCACAACCTGGGGGATGCAGTGTCTGAATTTGGGGCAAAAGCCCACATAGCTGAAGGGCCATGTGCATAGAAAGTTCCAGGGGTAGAAAAGGAACTCTTAGATCATAAAAACACTTGCATTTCTGTGTTTCTTCGAAAGAAAAAAACAGTGCATTGCAAGAGGCTACCTCTGAGCTGAGTAACAAAACTGATCCAAGCATGTGTTTCCCACTATGATTCAATGCCTTTAGAAGAAAAATGAAGCTGCCAACTTTGTAGGTGACCGTAAGGTTAATTATTGTTCATATTAAGAGGACAGTACCTTATTTCTCCCTTGCTATCTGGCAATTGTTTCCAGATGCAAGCTCTCACAGTCCCTATACTTGCTGGATGCAGGGATTCTGCAAGTCAACAACTTTCCACAACGGACACAAGCAGGGAGACGCTGTAAAACCGAGAGGCAAATTACATGCAGCAGGCGGCCGAGCCGGGCAGTAACGGGTAATTCACATTTTCAACCAGAACATGATCACGAAGCTGAGCAGTCCAGCTTTCTTCCTCCAGCACCTCCCTCCGCCTCCAAACTACGGAGGGGCAGGACCCGCAGGTGGAAGGGCAGGGCTGCCACAGCAGGTCCTTTCTGAGGAAGGGCTGGCCCGCTCCGGGGGAGCTGCTGAGGGGGACACACCGGGGGGAAGCTGCTGGGGGGGAGGGAAGCTCCTGGGGGGATTGGACACCAAGGGGGGAAGC